AGTACCAGACCTTGAGAGGCAGAGGCAGGCAGAGCTCTGAGATCTGGGCAGCCTGGTCTACATAGTGAGTTCCAGGCAGTCTGGGAGTAGGGAGACCCTATCAAAATTAAATAAATAAATATGTGTGTCATTGAGCACTTAGCTCTTTTATTTAAAATTGATTGTCTAGAGCCAGAGGTATCACTTGTTGGTAAAGTGCTTGCCTAGCATGTTTGAGGGTGTGCATTCAATCCCCAACAATGCAAAAATAAGCTAATAAAAATAAAATTAACCTTTTAAAGTTTAGGTTTCTTACATATGAGAGAATATACTTCATAATAATGAGTGTATTACTGGGGCTAGTCAATATCATCTTTAAAAATTCTGTACAACAGTTTCATTTTACTGATTTTGATTGTTGACAATTAAGAAAAAAAGTGGATTTCAAATGAAAATTTTGATTACTTTTCTGTGTTTTTATAAATTGTAAAAAGAATAAAATACTTTCACTTTTCATATCAACTATAACAAAGACAAATTGGGGCAAATATGCCTTTTTTTTAAAGTGGGGTCTCTATACATAGCTCAGGCTGCTCTGTAACTCAAGATCCTCCTGTCTCAGCTTCCTGGGCGCTGGGATTATAGACATGTGTAAGCTTACATTTATTTCTTGGAGTGGTTGATATCTAATAAGCTCTGAAAGGCAACACAAAAACATTTTCAGTTATCTTTTTTCTTTTTCTTTCTTGCAGTGCTAGGCAAGTACTCTGCCATTGAGCACATGCTTAGCCCTATCTTTCATTATAAGCACAAATTGGATTTATACTAATTGACTACTAGCTACTATTTTCTTTTTTAGTATTACTGAATATTCATCTGGCCCTGAATATATATACACACACATATATATGTATATATTATATAATACCTACTTGAGATCTCTGATTCACATAGAAGAAAATTTCGGGAAACTGTCTTCATATCTGTGTCAGCTGAGTTTATATTAATAGATTTAGTTTGCGGGCTTTCCTTATGTGGGAAAGTGTATGACAAATAAATCCCACTTCAGCATTCATTTCACAAGTTACATATTCCAAGCTTGAAAGAGTTTATGACCTGGAGCATTTCTTAGTACCTCAAAATAAATTCATTTGTTGAATGATTTGACACATAAAATAATGTTCAAAACTATCTTCCTTTCTTGTTGAAATTACAATGATTTCATCTTCCTTCAGTATAAGATTCACTTGAATAATATTTGAGAATCAAAAGAAAAATACAAGTTGTCTCTAGTATTTATTTATTCTCTGGCATGCACAGCAAGCAATAATCTTCATTAAGCAAGATGATGTTAAGACCAGACATGGTGGTACATAAATATAATCCCAGTAATTGGGAGAATATGACAGGGTGATCTAGAATTTGAGGCTAGCCTAAGCTACATAGCAAGACCCTGTGAGAGAGGGAGGGAGGGAGGGAGGGAGGAGAGGAATTAAAAAGAAAGTCTAAGTTGAGGAAAGTATTGAAATTGTTTAATATATTACTCCTAAATCTTCTGAAGAAGAAATGATTGTCTTCAGAAAGTTGTGTCCAATTGCTATAGTGGAAAATGACATTAGTATGCTGTGCCCGTTCTACATAAACCCTACCTCAAAACATCTTCAGAAAGCTCACATTCTTTCTTTCCAACATATTGGGGGTCCGTTTTGAAATTCTTCATTGAATGCTGGAGATTCAGAAGTTTTCATTTAATAGCTGGAGGTGGTGGTGGCACACAGCTGTAATCCCAGCATTCTAGAAGCTGTGACAGGAAGATCTCAAGTTCCAGGACAACCTAGACTGCATAGCAAGTTCTGGGCCAGCCTGTGCTATATAGTGAGATCCTATCTCAAAAAGGAATTTTTCTTTTGAAACATATTAACAGATTTGGTATGTATGATAGCATGTGCAGTGTGCTGCTTGATAAAATAATACTTTCAGTAGTAATAAGAACAAAAATAAATAAAGCTGTATTTTTATCCCAATATGAAGACCTTCATTATTTACAGACAATAGAAATTCCTTAATTAAATGAGTCCTCCCTTTGCCCCTTGCCAGTACACTCAGTGGATTTTTCACTAGTTATCAAATCTAAACATCTTAGAAGATGAAGAGCATCAATCATTTTCTAAGCCAAACAAAAGCTCATCATTCTTTTACTACCTTTTTCTTCACTTCTCATAGTTCCCATTAGTTTTTAATGCTTCTTGAACCTCAGAAGCAATCATTCCTAGTTTATATCAAAAACAGGAATTTGGAAACTAGGATATTGTCAATACTACTTTCTATAACTTATTTTCAGTTTTAGACTAAAAGTTTTTTGTTTCTGTTTTTCTTTTGTTGTTGGTTTGGTTTGGTTTGGTTTGGTTCCTAGAAGTCCTAGTAAAATAGTTTATTATGATTTTCTAGTAGTAATTTTTTTGGGGGGTGGGGGCTTTTTGAGACAGTGTTTCCCTGTAGCTCCAGCTGACCTGGAACTCACTTTGTAGACCAGGCTTGCCTTGAACTCACAAAGATCTGCCTGCCTCTTGTCTCGGAGTGCTGGGATTAAAGGAATGCACCACCACACCCAGCCAAGTAGTAACTTTTAAAAGGAAGTTGTCCTATATAATCCCTTATTATAATTTACCATTAAATTATCAAGCATTTTTATTCTGGTAATGCACCTCTTTGACTTTGTTGCTATACATTTGATAATGTAATCTTTAAAGTTTTGTTGTGGTGTCCTGAGATGCTTGGTAGCTTAAAAATGCTACTTTTCTTACCCTTACACACTAAAACTCATTGAATGGCATATAACATCAAAGAAAAATCTTGTCTACAAATTATTAATGTGAAAATCTCCTTAGGAACTGTGTTATAAAGTTTAATGGATCAGTTTTAGCCCAAAATATATGTCCAAAATGTTTACAGACAAACAGTATGGTGATCAAGATGGGCCTGCTTTTGCCTCACTCTCATGACATATGAAATCAAATTGTTTAGATTGCCAAGATTTATTTTACTAATTCCCATCTACTATAAAAAAAATTCTATATATTTAGAGAATTTATCTAGAAAATGTAGGAAACTAGAACAAAAACTTAAATTATTTGAGAATATATTAATTTTAAGAAAAACAAATTGAGACCTGGGCATTGTGACACACATCTTTAATCCTAGCACTTGGGAGGCTGAGGCAGGTGACTGTGAGTTCCAGGCCCAGCCAGAGCTACACTGTCTCAAAAAAAAGACAGATACCAAGCCTTCATCTTAACAAATCTTCATCTTAACAAATAAGCCAAGCCAAGTGTGGTAGTGCACACCTGTAATCCCGGCAGAGGCAGAGGCAGGTGGATCTCTGATCTCTGAGTTCAAGGTCAGCCTGGTCTACATAGTGAGTTCCAGGCCAGCTGGGGCTGAGGAAACCCTGTCTCAAAAAAAAGAAAGAAACCAGAGATATCTTAAGCAAATTAAAGTGATGTACTCAGATAAGAACAATGAAGTAAAATATTTATTTCACTAATAATTAGCCTTAATTGAATAAAATCTAAAAGTTACTAAAGATTGCTGGGTGTGGTGGTGCATGCCTATAATCCCAGCACTTGGGAGACAGAGGCAGGCAGATCTTTGTGAGTGCAAGGCCAGCCTGGTCTAAATAGTTCCAGGACAGCTAGGGCTGCAGGGAGACCCTGTCTCAAAAAGACAAAAAAAAAAAAAAAAAAAAAAAAGTTATTAAAGATTGGGCAGCAACGTGGCTCAGTGGGTAAATGTACTTGCTGACAAAACCTAATGATCTGAATTCATTTCCAGAACTGACCCCTGTCAATTATCCTGATTTTTTGCTCACAAACACATACTATGAATGAATGAATGAATGAATGAATGAATGAATGAATGATGGATGGATGGATGGATGAGTGAGTGAATGAATGAATGAATGAATGTTACTAGAGATAAATTCCTTTTAGTTTGAATTCAGAATTACAGTTTAGACTGAATTGATGTTATGTATGTATATAGTAAGACTTCCTCGGATTTCAGAAAGCACAAAAAGATTTCTAAATATTAGAGGCTTAAAAAAAAAAGAAAAACTCTGAACCATAAAATACATTATTACAACATGTTCTACAATGTTGATTAAAATTTCAATGTCAGAATAAGTGTAATACCAGTGTAGACCACAAGGTGGGAGTGAAAGGCAAGAACTTGGGTTGAAACAGCTTAAATACACAATTGCTTTATCTTTGTAAACCTTTAAAATGCTTGTTAAATAATAAGGAACTCTGGCTTGTTTTCTTTCTTCCTGTATTACAGCTGCATTCCTTAAAAAATTCTTATTAAAATTTATAACAAAAGACAAAGATGTCAGTTTACATACATAGGCCATTACTAGTAAATATAAAAGACAGACTCAGAAAATGGTTTTGCCCCTAAATTTCTGTTCATATGAAGCACTTAGCGATCAGAGTAGCAGTTTTTGCAAATGAATATGATAAATTCCATTTATAAGTTTACTAGGGTATGAAATTTGCAAAAATATTTCATTTTCTATCCTCATTTTCCCTTTTCCTTGATCCTCATTTAAAGAAAAAAAACAAAGCCCATACATTTTAAAATCTTCTTTCAAAGATTTTTTTTTTTAATGTGTAAAAGTGTTTTCCTGTATATATGTATGTGTACTATCTGTATGCCTGGTATCCTTGGAGGCCAAAAGAGGGATCAGAGCCTCCAAAACTGGAGCTATAGACAGTTGTGAGTCACCATGTGGGTGCTGGAGCCTGGCCCTCTGCAGGTGCAGCAGTGCTCTCAGCATCTCCCCAGCCCATCATATATTTTCATGTATACATGAACCTCCTGTATAGTATATGTGTATTTGTGTGTATGTAAGCTGATATGATTTGTCTAAAATAGAGAAATAAATTTTTATTGTGTTTTCTGTTAACCCAAGCTCATTTGCATTTAGAAGCAATTTAAAGTATAATTGTTTTTGTGTCTTTAAGGTAAGAAGACAAGAGGTTTCTTCTTCCAGAAAAGAAACTTCAAAGAATCTCAGCATTCCTTTACTTCATGAAAGGTAGTTCTATTATCTGTTTTGCCAATTCAAAAACTATAAATATTAAAATATTCAATATTTTAAATATTTTTTAATTTCTAACAATTGTAAAAAAAATAGTTGGCTCTGCACTTGAATGAACCCACATGTAAAAATGCTCCTACATGTGAGAATGACCTAAATACATCATATAGTTAAGAGCAGAGCTAGGTCTCAAAGCTGAATTCTCCAAAGCTCTGCTGTTTCCACAAGCCTGTATTTTGGCCATATTATTTTATGTGAATGAATCCTGTTGTGAACCTTAACAAAAGTAAGGACTATTTAATAATTTTATGATGTTTGCAGAGAACAAAAACTAAAATGTATTCAACTTTTTAAACTGAGAATAAGCCAGCCAACACCAGTGTGATACATAACTAGATATACTAACCTGCAGTATGTTTATGAATTAGAGCTTTTAATGTATTATTATTTTCTATGACTGAATTTTCAAATATTGAATAGCCTTTAGGATATTTTCTACAAGTTTAAATTTTATTTTTATCTTTTAACTTCAATAATTTTAAGGCACATAAAACCATGCTCTGTAAGCTTAATTACAATAAAAAACTATTTGAAGTTATAGTCTTATATTTTAAAATACTGGTTTGTTTTTAGGGATAATATAGAGAAGACTTTTGGGGATCTAAAAGAAGAATTTCATAGGATATGCTTGCTAGCAAAAGCACAAAAGAATCACTTAAGCAAACTTAATATACCAGACACTGCAACTGGTAAGCTTTAATTTATAGCTGTTAGTAATTTTAATTGTACTGGTTGAAATTAATTTAATTTTCAATGTCAAAATATTTGTAAATGCTTATGAGAAGCCAAGAATCTACACCTTGCCCCATGTGCTATTAAGTTTTATAATGCACATTAAATAATTCTTGTTTTTTTACTCTGTCTTCATTGTATGTGGTGTTGTATAGATTAAACTGAATGACTGAATTACCAATCAGCTTAATGAGCAGTACCATCTTGAAAAGTTACAAAAAAAAAAAAAATACAGGATACACCTCTATATTTGCCGTTTGGCAGTCATATTAAACATTAATAACTTTTATATGTATTGCCTGCATGTATGTAAGTGCACCCGTGTCATGTCTTGCCCACAGAGGTCAGAAGAGGGCATCAGATCCCCTGAAACTGGACAGTTGTTAGTGCCATGTAGGTGTTGGGAACTGAACCTGGGTTCTCTGTAAGAAAATAGCCAGTGCTCTTAACTGCTGAGCCATCTCTCTAGCCCCTCTGCTTGACATTTTATTGAACACTGTATATAGTTTCTAATAATGTGATCCAAGAAGGAAAATATGGAATGCACATTTCCATAGAGCCTCCAAGAGAACTAAAATTTAGCATAAAATACTACTTAGAGACATCTATTTTGCATGCATGGGGCGGGGGTTGGTTTTATTTAGAAAGGGTCTCAGTCTGTATTCTGGCTGGCTTGGAACACACTGTATAAACCAAGCTGACCTCAAACTTGCAGGAATCCACTTGCCTCAGCCTCCAAAATGCTGGGATTATAGGCCTGAGCCATCATGCTGAGCTACTGCAGTATTTTTTTTTTTTTTTTTTTTCTAAGCTCTGACCTTCCCTGAGGATCCTGGACTGGTACCTAGGTAGTTGCTTCAGTAGTTAACTATTAATATCAAAATACCAGGGATTGAATCTAGTACCCAAACACTTATGTTTAAAAAAAGAGAAAGTCGGGGCTGGAGAGATGGCTCAGCAGTTAAGAACACTGGTTATTCTTGCAGAAGATCCGGGTTCGAATCCCAGCACCCATATGGTAGCTAACAACTGTCCGTAACTCCAGTTCCAGGGGATTCGGCAGCCTCTTCTGTCCTCTTCAAGCATTTTATGACATGGATGCACTTAACCTACATGCAGGCAATACAGCCATACACATAAATAAAAAAAATAAAAGCCAGGCGTGGTGGCACATGCTTGTAGTAGTCCCAGCACTTGGGAGGCAGAGGCAGGCAGATCTCTGGGAGTTCAAGGCCAGCCTAGTCTACATAGTGAGTTCCAGGATGGCTGGGGCTACAGGAAGACCCTGTCTCAAGAAGACCAAAAATAAATAAATAAATATATTTTTTAAAGAGGGAAAGTAGAATGATCATTTAAAGTGATAACTTTCTCTTTTACCCTTGTAATTTAAGATATTCTACAGATAATTTCCTTAGCAATGTGATTTACAGCTTTCACTCTGAGATATTACAGGAGTGCTGACCAGCATCTTCTTAATTAAAGGTCACTTTTTTTTTTTTTTTTTTTTTTGGTCTTTTTGAGACAGGGTTTCCCTGTAGTGCTCTTTTTGAAACTACTAGCATTTATTTTCAGAAAAGTTCTACACTGTAGTAAGGAAGAAATAAAAGTCTTTGTAGGTAGATATAAATGTGCCCACCTCCCCACTTCTACCTTCTCAAAAAGTACTCTTCATTTCTCCATCCTGATTTTTGTATTATTCATGAGAAATTGATTTTTTATACAGACTAAAGATACTAGTCTGTAGTTTCATTTAAAATAAGCCATACAAATGTAGTGCCTAGAATTCATAAACATGCTTTTTGAACATCAACATCTTATCAAAACATTGTAATGGTGACATATTCTTTGTTACACAGAGAACATGCCCCATTATCAATGACTTAATACTTTGACCATTTTTAAATTGCACAAGTCTAAATCTGAGTATGTATCTGTCAACTAGAACACTGAGTGTTTAACTTCAGTTTCTTCCCCACTAAAGCTACTTCTTAACATTATTCTTATGCTTTATACTGTGTCACCAGTAATAAGTAATATATTATTCTTGAAATATTTTAGATCGTATTAAGTCAAGTAAAGCTTTGCTTGGTTCAGTCAAAACAACAAAATATCAAATATTAAATATCATGCCCTGACAGTATTAGTCAAAGGGGGGAGAGAAGAAATATTTTAGAAAAAGATAACATTTTCAAGGTTTCTAAATTTGTATGTATGCTATATTGAACAAAAACAGGTGAATTATTTCAAATAGATTTTACATAATATATCTAGAAGCATATGTAACAATATTGTCTTAGTGTTACTTTTCATTAAAATTTGATATATACTTCTAAAGAACCAGATAAAATTCATGAAAAAAATTCTGTTAGTAGAATTTTACATTTTATTACTTAGTCTATTCTTGTCATTCACTTACAGCAGTAACGCTGAGAAAGGGTGCAAGTAGAAGTGTATGTTTAAGCATGTATGTCTTCAGGATAAAAGTTATAATTGGGTCCAAAAGGAGTCCTATTCCACTGGCTATTAGGAGAGAAGAGTATAGAATTAGGGGCTAGATACAATCATCAGTTCTTTTGTCAGTAGTCATGGTAATTCGCAAAGCAGTCTAAGCAGATAGCCTGCATGTAAATTTTGGAAATATAAAAATTTCTCATTTTCCTCTTTTCCTCAGAAAAATAAGTATTCATGAAACAGACAAATTAGAAAAGCTGTATACTCACCTGATTGTGTTTCTGAGTATGGTATCAGGATGACAGTGTTTTCATATACCTTGTTTGAGTTTTATCTAAGCTCAGAATTCTAGTAATTGTAGGACTCTTGCTTCAAATCTTCTCTAATAGACACTCTCACCACATGACTAGATTAGCTCAAGTTATTTTAATGTAGCTAAGGTTGTAGACCAGCTAGCTATTCTAAAGGAAAATATCTGCCTGCTTATCACAGCTATTTCATTTCTCCCTGTTTTCTTTGCAAGGAAAGAGAGGTCAACTGTTAAGAAAGTAATGACAAGCATAATTCTGTCAACTTGAGGAGTCCTCTCTCTGTATAGAAACCAGCATGTTCAATTTAGCATAATGGTTCAGAGCACAGACTCTGGCATTCAAGAGTCTAGCCAAAGGTCTAGTGCCTGACCTCTACCAGCTAGCTGTATAGTACTGGAATTAACCATGTAGCCATTCCTTCACATGTAAATTAGGTCGGAATTATTCTGAGCATTAAATGAATTAATGTACATACCACAGTTGTAACAGTGCATGGCACGTGGAACTGCTGTTAATTTTAATAGCTGTTGCCATTAGCAGCAGCAGCAGCAGCAGATTATAAAGCATTTACTCTATTCTCCAAAAATCATTTGAGAAGTCTTTCCTCCTCAGGTGTTATAGAATTTGATTACTGTTTCCTAGCATATCTTGCCATCCTCAAGTCTACTGCCAGGCAGAATGACTATTTGAGCTGGGTGTGGTGACGCACTCCTTTGATCCCAGCACTCAGGAGGCAGAGGCAGGGGGATAGAGGCCAGCTTGGCCTACATAGCAAGTTCCAGGTCCCCTGAAGCTACAGGGAGATCCTGTCGTAAAACAAAAATGGCTACTTGAGAGTTAATGAACTTTAACAACCTCAAAGATCAAAGAAATTGGCTAAACAATTGAGTTTGGTCTCAGTTATTATACTACTCCTAGTCACAGAGAATGTATAATAAATGTAGGTTATCGTCATAGGTTCTGTGAAGAAAAGAACACAATTCAGAATTCATTTACTGACAGCATAGTATATTTACCAGGAAGTGGGCAGGACATCTGGGTAAATTGAGAGTACAACATAATTTTAGACCTCAAAGAAACCTGCATTAATGAGAGAAGGGGAGGTATACATGGAAATATAAGAGTGTTCAGTCCTCAGAGCACCTAAGCATCATGGGAGAGCCATCCAGAGAAATATATGTCTAGGTGAAGATACGAAGGATAAGTAAGAGTTAGGCAAAGAGCTACATATGGTGATGCGCGCCTATTATTTCAGCACTAGCAAGGCTGAGGCTGGAGGATTGAGGGCTCGAGGCCAATCTGGTTGACATATGAGGCCCTGTCAAAGAGAGAGAGACAAAGAGAGACAGATGTATGAATGTTAACAGAATGAACTAAAAAAGTTAGTTCATATCATATCCAAACAAGTTTCTTGTATTACAGTGTGCTTTGGCAAAAGATAAGTGTTATGAGACCTCAAAGATCAAAGGAATATAAAGGAACTGGCATTTTTTAGGTGCCTACTAACATGGACGGGCACTGTGGGAGCTGCTCTGTCTACCATGTCCCCGTAACACCTGCTTCACTGGTAAAGGTTCCATTTGTGAATGTAGTGAATGTAGATTTCCCTAATAAAATGTTATTTATCCATTGAATAAAAATGCATTACTGCCAGGCATAGTAGTGCACACCTATAATTCCAGTCCTTGGGAGGTAGAGTCAGGAAGATCAGGAGTTCAAGACCAGCCTCAGCTATACTGTAGGATGTAGGCCAGCCTGGGCTACTTGAGACACTGTCTCAAAAGGATAATAACAAATATAAATACATTACAAAGTCCTTTGCCTTCCTGATGTGACGTTGTGGAGCCTAATTTGGTTTTTCTAATATTTCATGATCGTAATGGGCACACAAACAGTACTTTATCAGGTGTTTTTGTTGTGTTTTGTTTTGTCTTGCTTATGAATTGTGAAATATAGCTCTTGTTGCCCCTATATTTCACTGTGGTGTTTCTGAGTTCTTAAGTCTGCATGTTTTGTTTTTGCCTCCTCCCATGCTTTTAGCTCTTGTTGATTTCTTGTCTGTCTTTAACAACTCATCTCCATTTAATTTACTGTTTCAAACCAGCTATGAACTTAGAAAACTTCAGCTTGGTAGAATAAATCTAAAATGAGAATTAGAGCAGAAAGCAGAATGCACATCTCTGTGGACCCTATAACTCTTAAGTCCTCAGAAGTTCTTCCTAGCCTCTGATTGTAGCCTAGAGATCTGAATTTGCTGGATAAGTAAGTAGCACCTAGATAAATGAGCTATAAAAGCTCTCATTCTGCTTGTTGGCTAAAGAGGCCCTTTTAAGCATGAGAAAATTATATATTCACATACAGTTTTCTTACCATGCATCCCAAAATAATAATTTTCTCTTGCCTCTACTGTCTTTCTTTCTGACCCCAACCATCCCTCACATGACTTATTGAGAGTAGACAATGACTACCTGATTAGTGATTTACTTAATTACACACTGGTGTTAGAAGAATAATACTAATTCATGTAGCAAAGCATGAGAAAATTATATATTCACATACAGTTTTCTTACCATGCATCCCAAAATAATAATTTTCTCTTGCCTCTACTGTCTTTCTTTCTGACCCCAACCATCCCTCACATGACTTATTGAGAGTAGACAATGACTACCTGATTAGTGATTTACTTAATTACACACTGGTGTTAGAAGAATAATACTAATTCATGTAGCAAGTAGCAAAACTGACAAAATGTTTAAATATATATATGCTACAACCAAATGGGTTTTTTTTTTTTATTATTGTAGAGAAGCATAACTGTGAACAAGATGCAAAGCTTATAGCAGAAGACCTAGGAAAAGACAAAGTACTTAAATTGCAGCTAACAAGCTATGTTCCAATTCACCTGCTGGAGAATGTTAATATTCCTATGTGAGATGGTAGCAAACATAAAAATACCAGTTGTCTTCAGTTGCTATAAAAACCAGTAGAAAAAATATTACTCATCTGTCCAAAGCTGATTGAACAGATTTTTTCAAAAATTATTTAAATGTGACTATTTCCCTTTTATATGCTTTTTCCTGCAGAAACACAGTGCTCTGTGCCTATACAGTGTACTGATAAAACAGATAAACAGGAAGCACTATTTAAGCCTCAGGCTAAAGATGATATAAATAGAGGTGCACCATGCATCACATCTGTCACACCAAGAGGACTGGGCCGAGATGAGGAAGACACCTCTTTTGAATCACTTTCTAAATTCAATATCAAGTTTCCACCTATGGACAGTGACTCTCCTTTCTTACATAGCACCCCAGAGAGACCCAACACCCTTGCTCCTGCCACATCTGAGGCAGTGTGCCAGAACAAGTTTAATATGGAAGCCAGAGAAAACCCAGGAAACTTTGTTAAAACAGAAGAAACTTTATTTGAAATTCAGGGAATTGACCCTATAGCTTCAGCTATACAAAACCTTAAAACGACTGACAGAACAAAACCCTCAAATCTTAGAGCTCCGTGTTTGCCACCTGGAGACCATAATGCGTTATATGTAAATACATTCCCACTTCAGGACCCGTCTGATGCACCTTTTCCCTCAATGGATTCCCCAGGAAAAGCTGTCCGAGGACCACAGCAGGTAACTGTTTTGCATTAACAAATATTTTATTATGTGTGAACACACATTTTGTCATACATGCACAAGATACAAATCTCTTTTAGGTTATCGGACATCCATTTTAAACTAATAGCCTGACTTGAGACTTTCAGTGAAATACGTGAGTTGTATAATAAAGGTTATGAAAATTAAAAATATGAATAAAGCTCTATCATATTTATAACAAATTTTTAAATGCACATAAACCTTATATGTATTTGGCATGGCATTACTTTCTTAGTCCTTTAATCACAGCTTCTTTACTCAGCATCAGTATTATAATAGGCTTTTTTATTAAATTTCATGTAAGACAAATGGTATTTTATTAAAAAACTTAAACATATCATCCCAATAATGTATAACTTTCCATAAATAAATAACTGTATTGGATATTCACAATAAACTGTTTTTCAGCCTAGTTCTAGCATATTCTCAGTTATACAATACATGGATCCATAGGGTTTCATTTGGTTTGCTAATCTGGTACTGAACAGACATCCTTATACATTTTTCAAATAATTTCTGAATATGAATGATTTTAATCAAGTATCTTATTTAATGTTACTAAAGCTTGAAGACTATTTATGAACCCTGAGTCTAATCCTACCACCATCTCTATCAGACTAAGGTTCTTTCACAGAAAGATTCTTTTTGTTAGGGGAAAAAAAAAAGTTTTAACTCCTATAGGCAAATGAAAAATACATAAATGTTAAAGTAAATAGAAGTTTGCAAAAATAGAGATTAGCATTAGAATTTTAAAACATTTGTTTCTCTGAGATTGAAAAACTTGGTTAATACCTTTGGCTTTAAGTATTTTAATCAGCGTGCAAAGGAAGCAATAGTCAAGCTGTAGTATATTTTAGTAGTGGGTAAAACTAGGGATTGCTGACAAGTCTTAATTATTAACTCACTTATATTCTACACTGTACCTTGTTTCACATTATGGCCTCAGTGATAGTTGCTACTAAATGAAAGAATTAAATAATTTCATTTATTGCAAGTAGAATTCCTGTGGAGCTGTGAACTGCCTCAGTTCTAATGCTTGTTACTTTCTCTCCATTAGCTCTCTTGCTTGTTCTTTTACTAGTTAGTCTGTGCATTCATGTTTCAGTAGATGGCAGCCTGCATTGTACGTTCACTTTCTATATTACAGCAAGGGAAACAGCTGGTATGTGATTACAACTTGATGGAAAAGTATTCAGCTAAAAAATGCAAAAGAATTGGTGTTGAGCTGTCACAAGACATGGGGCATAAGGTTAGATAATTGATATTTTGGCAAAAAAAGAAAGAAATTGGTTTGATTTAAAGATTATATTACAGTTTAGGATTGCAAAATTATTTTTAAATTGGGTTTTTAAAAACATTTCACTCTTGTTAATATTGATGAAGCTCATATAATAAATACAAAATTCTTGAGCTGTTAATAGTAAGAAGTAAAGTTTTGGCTACCTATTTTGCTTTTACTTTATATTAATCATTACTACTGATCACCTAATTTTCACTTCGGTTTTCATGAAAGACTAAAATATATCTGCTTATTTTTGTTCTGTGCAATTTTCATTTTTATTGCTGAGTCAGTGATTGGGATCCCAATTAAATTCTGAGATCAAATCTGAACTGACAGCTATTGATGTTGAATTTTAAAGGTAAATTATCAGTGGAAGACTGACTTACCAAATAAAGATGCTAACTCACTTTTAAGATAATTGCTTACTGTTTTATAAATCCTAAAAAAATTATCTTTAAAATAATAATCTTTATTGATTGTTGTATCAGTTTTATATTAGAGTGATTTTTACTTTTTTGTTTAAAACTACAACCAATAAAATTTGAATCTAGTTAACTGGATTTGTATTTATATACCCATAATTATTACTGCCTTTCATCAGGATGATTTTTCCAAAAAATACATATTTTGCCCTAAATTTTGTAACATTTGTTTTAAATATTGCTAGTTTTGTGGCAAAATTGCCACTTCTCTTGAAAACAAATTGGATTCATACTATGTCATTCGTACTAATATTTGAATGTGTCTTGCTACCTAGACAGATTTTATATATTCAATACCATTGTTCACAGCTGTCCTGTAAAATGCTTATAAGACAGTGATACCCTAAAACCCAAATGTTTCAATTAATAATACTCTGTTTATGTAAATAATTAACTGACTAGAATGAAGTTAAAGGAATAAAAACCATCAGGTGCTGAACTAGACTGTTACTCTGGAAACATTAATAATAGGAGCATAAAGGAGTTTCTTTAAATAGTTTTATGAGGTAATTCTCAGAGTGTTAGAATTTAGCTTGGTCAGAGTAATTTACCTGTGTTAAGGTAAGAAAAACATTTTAATAATCTGACTTACACCATTCAGGGAAAGGAGATATTTTTATGGTTTATTAAGCACACACTATTAAACCAATTCCTATGTATTGTTATTCTAGATTTCTTTAAAAGATAACTACAAGTTTTTATTTGATGATAATTATAATGGATGGTTCTATTGAATTATGATTTCCATAGTTCTTTAAATGGGCAGCTATTGATGTTTCATTGTATTCAGCTGTAAGAAAGAATGCGGCTAAATTAGATATTATGTAACAGAAGTAAAACAAGACGTCAAAACAATGCATCTCATGCTAAATTTTGTTGAATGATTAAATGCTCTAATTTTAAAAAGGCTGATAAATGGAATTTGCTTAAAAGAAACTTTCAGAAAATTAAAATACTGATTTTACATGATTTATTTGTTTGTATTTTAAAATGATTTTGATTAAGATGTGTGCATACACGTCTAGTATATCATGTTTTAATAAAGAACCTACAATTTAAGGTTTCTGTTGTAAAATAGAAAATATAAAATTCAATAAAAAGACTAAAATATTGACAATTGCTTCAAAACTGTTGTCATTGAGATAACTGATACTAATAATTGCTGGTGCTAAAAATGCAATGTTTTACAATGTAAAGATAATATTCAGGAGTGTGTGGCCAAGTTCTTACTCTGGAAAAGAAATTTGCTTTCACTTAAAGTAGGGAATTTCACATACAAGCTCATACAAAAGTCATTCAGATATTGGAATTTGAAATTCAGTGCAGTTTTAAACACAAGTAACAAAAGATGTTTTTGTTTGTTTCCTGCAGCCCTTTTGGAAGCCCTTTCCTAACCAAGACAGTGACTTGGTGGTACTAAGTGGCACAGACTCAGAACTCCTTAAACCTCGAGTATGTGAATTCTGTCAAGAGTTTTTCCCACCATCCATTACATCCAGGGGGGATTTCCTCCGGCATCTTAATTCACACTTTAATGGGAAGACTTAAATCATATTTGGAAACAGACATATCACATTCTGTGTGATGTTTTGGACTTATAGTACTATAAAATGCTTGATTGTAATCTAAGTTTAAAGTCGATTATTAAAAACAGTCCAGTGTCAGAGCTATTTGAATTTTTTCTAAACTTCTTTATCTTTTAAAAGATCATTTTGTAGAAAACTGTTAATTCATTATATTCATGTTTACAGTGTTATTACTATAATTCAAAATTATGCATGTGACCTAGAGTTATACAATCATAATTTTAGTTTCGAATACCTAAGCTTATTGTTTGAACCTTGTGAGATTTACTGGTGATATAAAATGTTTTTAGGGTTTCATTTTATGTTTTAAATTATTTATGCTGTAATATTCTTTGAAAATACATCTGTCATTTACAGAGAATATCAGAAAACATAATCATCTAAGTAAATACCAAATCGAAGATGTTTGTTGCCCGGTGATAATTATTTAAATATTTTAGGATTTTGTTTTTTAATAATACACATGGTTTTAACTTTTACTATGTGTATAGCTGCATGATCAGGTGAATTAAATATTACAAGAGTTACTTATGTCATAATCATTAAAAATATTCTTTGTTTCTGAGGTAAATAAATAAATCACATTGGGAAAGTTTCTACAATTCACATTTTCTATTAACCTATTGATAGAAGGGTGATGACCAGATGTGATGGCATTTATTACAAATTAGTGAGTCACTTTACATTTTAAAACTCTTTCAAATTAAACATTCTTTTTTAAAAAATCCTTTTTATTGGGAACAAATGTAAAAGCCTGTAAGGACCATACATATTTATTAAATTTAGATTAGAAATATTAGGAGTCTCATTGAGAAATTTGCTATTCATTGTTAGCAGCCTGATTGATAGCCACTGGAGACATCTGAGAGAGACTACCAAACTTGCCATGCTGCAAAGCTGTTTAAAATGAGACTTCCTTTCATTTTTCTCTATGATTCTTGCCTTTGGGGCTTCTCTTTCCCCCCGGATTTTTAAAAATGTTTGAGTAATGGCTTCCATATTATAAGTAAGCATTGACTTGTAGCTTTCAAACAGAAATTTAAACGTTCTTTCTTGAAGCAAGTGTTTTATACTGGGGGGTTTAGCTTGGGGAAATTTGCACAGGCCTCTGTGCCCAGTGGAAGATGAGTGGTACCTCAACTTCTCAGGGTGCCAAGCACATCACATTGACATCTTCCTAACCAAGGTGACAGCGATTATTAGGTATTCACTGTGAAGGGTTCTGAGACATGTACATCTTTTCATTGCCACTGGGTTGAATGGAAATGCCTAGACAATTATCCAAAGACTCTCCCCCGACCCACCTAGCCTCCCCTCTCACTTCTCCCAAGCACTCATACAAAATTAAAACTCAAAACTTGCCACTGTGTCCCAGTCAGAATATACCCCCTACCTAGCTCAAGAAAGGGAATTCTTTTTCCATCACCTTGTCTAGAAGAGGGCTGTGGCTCACAAACAGTTGACACCTACTGGCTGACGACCAAAAAACCCCTCCACACCCCAGACAGTGACTCAGACTGGACCTCTGACCCCCTCTTCTCCAGACCATTCTTTCCCCTACCACCACTTTTAGTAAGAGATAGGAACTGTTTTCCCTGGAATTCCAGGGTTACACTAAGCTCCAACTTCTAAGGGCTGAGTCCTTATTGGTCCTCCCGAGTGGAGGGTCCTGGCCTGCTCTGCACAGGTTGACACCAGCTGTCTGTCTCTCTCTCTGCCTTCTTTCTGAGCGGTGCAGGGCTGCCTCTAGGCATCTGCTAAGCGTGGCCGGGTAAGAACAGCTCCCAGGTACGAAAGCTACCCGCGCAAAACGCTGAGTCTGAAAAAGCCACCCCCGCCGAGGCGAGGCAGTTGTGAGCGGGATGCCTGAGAAGTGGGAGGTGAATGTCCTCCGGAGGGCCCCCCCGGTGCAGCTTTCCCCGGAGGCTGAGGCTGCTGCCAGCGGGGACATCTGCTTTCTTACACTCCAGCCTGGCTCACCCCGCCCCCTCAGCCCCGGGTTGCGTGGTTATTTTACCAACACCGGGGGAGGGAGAGCTCGAGGAGGTAGGAAAAGGGTGGATGGAGGCTTAAAAGATAATCTTCCCACTCTTCCCGAGCCCCCTCCTTTCTTCCTCACATCTTTTAACCTTCAAGGTAAAGATTTCATAAATATGAAAAAATAAGGGAGCGTGCTGGCTCGCAGGCCCGAGGTGGGCTCACGGGGCTGCCGGGGCCAGGCCTCGCCCTCCCGGAGTCCTCCCAGAGTCGGGCAGGTTCGGCTGGGCGCTGGAGCCGGCGGCGAGCGCTCCGCCCATGGCGCCTTCCCTCCCGGGCTGCTGCCTCGACAGCTGCGTGTAGCTACAGTAATTAGACTGTCAGTGCTTGTTAGGGGAGAGGAGGAAACACGCTTCTGACAGCGGATTCCGAGACTCCCCAGTTTGTTAATTTTTAAGAGATCTTTAAAGCATTAATTGAGGTCTCCACAACTCTTCCTTCTCGTCCCTGTCCCCAATTCCTCCTTTCCCCCAAATATCTTCAGGAGAAAATTCTCTCCACGTGGAAGCAGTTTCCTGCAAAACCACCAGTCCGCCCCGCACTCACGCACACAACCCTAGTTTACATATGCATATATTGGCTCCCTGTACGGAAGGTTAGCTCTGCGGAGGACTCGTCCAAATAGGCACCGGGATTGCATTTAAAATAATAATAATAAATAAATAAATCAACTAGGAAGGAAAGGGGGGAGGGAAGCAGAAGTCGGGAAGAAAAGAGAAAAGCAGCAGGCTGATTACGAGGTGTCAAAACTGCCAGGAGCAAGAAGGTGATAGCAATCAGGGGTGAGAAGAGTGCGGCATTCGTGCGGGGCAACTAATTATCCGTCTCATTTGAGAAGAGCAGCATTTGAGGCAGCAGCGTTCGCCTGCTGAACGGTGACAGATTGGCGCGGAGGAGAGGGGAGGTGTTAAAACAATGGAGCCGGGCGCGCGAGCGCTGCTGCATGCTAATCAGCCCTCCCTCCGCCTGCCTGCCGCGCTCCCTCCTTCCTCCCGGCTCCCTCCTCCGCCTTCCCTCCTCCCGCCTGCAGCGCTCCCTCCTTTCCAGCGGGCCGGCCGCCGCCCGCTTCCCGCTCCCTGGCTTTCCCGCGCGTCCTTCCCGCCGCTGGCGAGCGGAGCCGGAGCGGCCGAGCTGCCCGCGTGCGGCACCCGGAGTCCTGCAGCGGGCCGAGGGGGGCGAGCTGGCCTCCCCCACCAGCCTTCTGCTGGCCCGGCCGCGAGGGGAGTCCGCGGGGGCAGGAAGGCCGGGGACAGCCTGGGGCGTGGAACGGAAAGCCCAGGCAGGCCCCGGCCTTCACCCCGCGGGCTGGAGCCACTGCGGCCCTGGCACGATCTGCTGCGCCTCGTGGACGAAATCACCCCCAGTCAGGTGTCCGTAGGAGTCTCCGTGGGGACCCCCGCGTGCCCGGCTGGCCCCCAGCACCGCAGCTGCCCGTGCGCGTCAGCGGGCACAGAAGGGGCCGGACTAGAGTTGTACCTCCAAAGCCTGACCTCCTGACCCCGAGACCAGACCAAAGGGCCTTTGCGTTTCCCGGGAATCCAAGCCTGGACTGTAGTCACAGGCCTTACTCCGCAGGAACCGCGTGGTGCGGCCCGCGTGGCTGAGGCACCGCGCCGGGCCTAGGTCTCTGCTCAGCACGCTGACCTGAGGGAAGCTAGATGGACGGAAACTGCAGCGCCAAAGCTCCCCCTTGAAGAATCCTCCAGAACCGAGTCTGTGCTGAAAAGCCTTCCATACCTGTTGAGGCAGGTAGGCTGGGGAGCCAGCCGAGGTTTCATGCAACTTTCCGTGACTTTTGAGCGTCAAAGCCGATTGTTGAACTGAAAAATACACATTTAGCCTACCCTTACATCAGTTACTGTTGGAGTAAAAAACTGATGGCCTCAAGGCTTAAGTGGGTTAGCTAGAACCCAGAAACAAAGAATTGGTGTGAATTTGGATTGAATTTTATGCAACTTTGCCAATGCAGCTCTGCTATTTAGCTAACCAGGTGCCTACATTAACATAAATCTAACCTCTAACCGTAGCCTGTAAATGAACGCAGCTGAAAGATAATCTATGCAGTATGAGTTTTTTTTTAACTGACTCTTACCGTTGCATAATTTCACACAAACAATAGTTGAGGTTTAAAATAACAAATCCAAATGTGTAAGGCTTGGTAAAGATCAGTCATATATGTACAAGGGTTTCATTTATATTACCATCTTTGTCTTTCAGGTGGAATGTCTCAAAAGTACACAATTATAAAATTAGTGAATCTTGGTATTTTTATTTTGTCATTTATTCTGTCACAGGAGCACAATATAAGTCATTTTCCCTTTAGAATACATCCAGGCATACCAATAAAATAGCTAAATGCAAAATTATTAGAACCTGCTAAAATAATACAAAATGCTGGAAAGTTTTAAAATTGAAAAATCCCTAAAAGGGGTTCTGTATAAAGTATTTTCTGTTCATTAGTGCTAATACCTTTGGTTTTCTACTCTTTGAAAAACTATTAAACAGTCCTCTACCCTTAGCCCATCACAGACTTTGGTGCTATGTCAGCCAGCATTTGGAAAAATCCCTGCTGTCTGAATCTGTTAAAACAGCAACGTAACAGCAAGGGGAAAATAAATTTTACATTTATTAATGTAAACCCGAGGTTCAGATGCTCCAGCAACATCAAAATTAAGCTATTTATTAGCTATCAGCCTTTTCTTTAGTCTATAGACTATTGCATTTCAAAGTGTGAATCTATGGAGTTCAAGTCCATGTTGCATTTGAAGAGCTTATACCTAACAAAAATTATTTACCTTCCATCAACTTGGTTGGCATCTATAGTTTCTTTTCAGCCTCGCATGACTGTTTGAATGATGTATTTACAGGTAAGTTATTTGCACATAAGGACAAAAAGGTGAAGTGAAATTTGGTCCCAATGGAAGCCTGTAAGTTTCCCTGAACATATGGCTCATTGGGCTGTTACTTCCTTTTTGAGATCATTTTCCAAGATTTTTTAATATATACATCAATTTGACACCAGTTATAAAGAAAATATATTGGT